GGGGGGCAGCCCCAACCCCTGCCTACCTGAGAGCTGCCAGCTGCAGCCACCAGTGTCCCCAGGCTGGAGCCAGGAGCTGTGGGCAGGGGTTCAGCACCACTTGGGGCACCCCTGGGTGAGGGCTCAGCTCATGTCCTGTCCCCCCTCACCCCAGGACACCAGGACTCAGGCCAGGATCTTCTGGGGGATCTCCACTGAGGCTTTGATGAAGATGGCGTTGTCCCGCACGTAGTTCCGCTTCTTGATGTCCTCGTGGGAGATGAACTTGGGGTAACCAAAGCCCAGGGTGCTCTCGTCCAGGGAACTGCGCGAGGCTCCCGGCTTCTGGAAGTTCTTCCAGTTGGGATCGGGGTGGAAGGTCTCCGTGATGTGTTGGGGCTTGGAGAGCGACGGGTCGCTCTGGTCCAGCAAGGAGAAGGTGACGCGGTAGGAGAAGGGCCACTCGAGCAGGTTGTCGTACTCGCCCGGCAGCACGCGGATGTAGACAGAGAGGTGGCTGCTCTCCCCGCTCCCGTTGCCGTTGAGGAAAGCCGAGACCTGCAGCTTGTAGCCGTACTTGTGGGTGTAGAACGGGGGGCTGAAGAACTCGTAGTTGCTGCGGGCTTTGGCCTCCTGCAGCTTGCGGGCGTAGTCGGCGATCTTCCAGATGAGGGTCCCGTCGCTGCTGACCGACAGCTCCTCCACGTCCCGCCGCAGCTCCAGGATCTCCTGCCGCTGCCGGCTCACCAGGGCACACACCATGCCCAGGTGAGCCTTGGTGCTCTCCTCCAGGTGCCGGCCCATGGCCAGCTTGGGGCACTGAGGGGGAGTGGGGACATCAGCCAGGGGGTGGAACAGGGGCATGGGGCAGTGTGCCAGAGAAGGCAAAGTGACACAGGTGAGGTGGGACAAGGATGAGGGCACTACAGAGCTACAGGGATGGGAGAGAGCAGAAGAGAGACACCATGGGAGGTGTGGGAACACTGGGGCACAGGGACACCATAGTGGAGAAGACACAGGGATGCAAGGGTGGGATGGGCATGGGGACACGGGCACAGGGCTGGGGACACACTCACCCGGTGCTTGCAGCCAGCTTCCTTGAAGGGGCACAGCAGCATGGCAGTGCTGCAGCTCTCCTTGAGGTGGGTGGGCACGTCCTCCCGGGCAATGCTGGGTGTCCCGCACTGGTTGGGGCAGGGCACAGGGTACCGGGGACACTGGTACTGATGGTTCTGGGGACAGCAAGTGGCAGTGAGCTAGGGCTGGGAGCTGGCAGGGTGAGGGTCCCTGTGAGCCCCATCTCACCTGGATGGTGTCAAAGACAAACTCCTTGGAGCAGTAGGTGCAGGGCTGGGTGCGCTTGGGGCACTCGGCCAGGGTGTGCTGGGACAGCAGGCGCCGCATCATGCGGGCCCCACACTTGTTCTCACAATACACGCTCTCCTGGGGACACGTGCCCTGGTGGCCCTGGGGATGGCAGCAGCATCATCACCCTCTGCCTGCCCTCACCAGCTGAGGGATGGGGCCAGGCAGTGGCTCCCATGCCCAGGCTGTG